AGAGCGATGGCCTCCAACCTAACAGCGATGGCCTCCATCCTAAGAGCATCTAAGAGCGATGGCCGCCAACCTAATAGCGAGGGCCTCCATCCTAAGAGCGATGGCCTCCATCCTAAGAGCTTCCAAAAACGTCCGTTCTGGTTGAGGTGCTTTGACCTCCGATGGTCCAGTGACTCGGGATGACCCGCTTGAAAAAAGAAGATACGTTTCTCGGAGATAGATAATGTTTGCCTAGGTTTGGCTTATCCTCAAAGAAACATTGATGTATCGACCCATGCTCAACCGCCTGGCAATGTGTGAACAAAAGCTGGCATATAGGATAGTCTTTGTCAGTGGGGTGCACGATACCTTGAAGATTGCTGCTGTTTCAATCACCTGCTGCTGTTTCAATCACCTGCCATGCCAGTGACCGCGCAAAGTGCTCAAGAATTGGGGAACCGCCGAACATGCCTGGTTCAAAATGGTTCAAAGATGTTCAAAGCAGCAAGTGATTGTTGTCAGGTTCGTCCACAGAACCACAGGAATCTGGGCAACCCCAGCCCGTGCATTCGCAGCCCAGGTCCTTCGGCAGATCCTGAGAACTGTGTTCAATGGCTTGAGGATGATGATCCAATGGATCCATATTCAAACGCAATGCCTGACCCTTGGGTGTCACAAGCAAACACCCCCAAAACCGGATCAGTGGATCATGACTGTGGGGCGTCAAATCCGGTCGATTTCTCATGTCAATCTGTATATGCAGTGGTTCGTAGCTCAACTCCCGATCCATCTATATGTCAAGAAGGAATTGAAGCGACCAGGCACAAAGCAGCCATGTTCACCGATTCTATCGTGGTCTGTTTCCTTTTGAACCCCAGGTCGACCAACATGATCCCGATCACCAAAGTAGGTTTTTTTTTGTGTTTTTTCCATCTACCTGGACAGTAGTATGGACTCCGAAGTTGGGTGTCATCCAAATCCACCCATGTGGTCCACTCATAAGAATCGAATTCCTTGCGCGTCGTAAGTTTTGCATGTTGTTTCTGTCCACAAGCTCTGGCGCCAAGGCCGCAGACCTGAGCTCTCGACGAAGAAGGGTGCCCACATGCGGAGCTCGCGGGCGAGGTCGTCGCATGCGCGACGCGTCACAGCGCAATGCAAAAGCAGGGCATGTGAAGGCTAGTTGGGGACTGGTCAGGTCTGCCAACATCCTGATGTTCCTGAGGAATTCGTTGCACTTACCTTGTGACACACGTTCACATCGCTTCCCAGTTCTTCCCCAAGATTGAGAAGAACTCTCAAACTTGTCTAGATCATATTAGATCTATTGGCAATCCTCCATAGCCTTCTCACTTCAAATGATTTCCAGTTGCTCAAGCACACCACGGGCTGCACTTCTGAGCCCTGATGGCTGCGTTGATGTGTAGCACCAGTGGTGTCCGTGCGTCACCGCCGCCGTGTAGAAAAACCCCAGTGTCGGTGTGCAGGGCAGGGGGAGGAGTCCGAGAAAGAAGGGCCAGGCAATCAAAGGTGCTGGTTGTAGGTGCTCCTCTGTCCAAAGCCTTGCAAGGCTGGTTGTAGGTGATCCTCTGTCCACTGATGTTCCTGAAGTGACGTCAATCAGTCAAGTCAGTTGGTGCCTTTGGGGAAGACATGTTGTTTGAGAAACCGTCCATGTTGCAGGATCTAAAGAATATACAGACTGTTCCCAACAGGCCAAAGGAGCTGGATCCGGTTGTAGCAGGCCTCAGAAGATGGCCAGGTCCGTCGACCGCTGAAATTGGGTCTTTCGGGATGAAACTCATGTGGATTGCGTTGCCTATTGACTTGATCCACTGGACTTGTGTTGGTGACGTTGTCCGGTGCTGCAAAGGACAACGGTCCCACGAAGCCACTCCAGCTGCTACTTATGTACCAAAGCAGCTCAAAACCATTCTTCCATACCAATGCTTTCATGGAATGGAGGGTAACAACTACTATTTGACAAAGCTCTTGCCTATGAATTATCATGGCCGGTTACAAACTAAAGCATTTCAACAACTCCCAACCCTCCAATAGAAATGCGCAAGTCGCGCCCGCAATGGAGGCGGGGTCGAAATGCTTGCAGCTTTTTCACTCCGATTTGGATGCTTGGACACCCCATGCGGCGACCGATGAAAAATCCTGCGCCTTCCTCTTCCTTCGCTCACCAAATCCTCCCTACACCGACCGATAAACCGCCCGCGGCAGACTCGCATTCACTGCCGCGTGAACACCGGAACACGCAAACCGGTCGACCGGCCTTGAGACGACGCAACGGGCGCGCGAGGGCGCTCGCTCCGCAGGACCGGGAGATTTAGACCCGAGACCCGAGAGGATCTTCTGCGCATCCGAAGAGACCCATGGCCTCAGGTCAAGGGGGGTTGCTTTTGACAAAAGACCTTGCAAGAGGCTGCAGGAGCAGGGTGAGAGCAGGTCAGCAGAAGTGAAGATCTATCCCCAACGCTTTATTTTAGTGATGTCAATTTCAACCAGCAAATTGTCTGGTCGACACATCGATCCCGAGATTGGTGTGTCACCTTCCCCAGCACATCATATATAATATATATATATATATATGTTTTTTTTGGATGTGCATGAAATTCTGGAGACCTCCCTCTCTGGAGGTGGGAACAAAGGCCAAATTTTGACAAACAACCCCTCCAAATTCCATTGGTTGGTGAGATAGATACACGCCATTACACGGGAATTTTTCTTTCGCCCCCGTGTTCCAGTTCTTCTAGCCGGGCGTCCGAAGCCCCGTTCGTCGTTCTCAAAGCAAAACCCCCAAAAACTACAGGACCCGAGAACCCAAAAGCCGAAACACGACCCCCCCAAGTCAACACTGGAAAGAAAAAGAAGAATGAACAAACCAACTGCTATAAACTGCTGTTCAAAAGAAAATCACCCAAAACGACCGCCGGTCTCCTTCCGGTCGGACACCGCCGCCGACCCGGTGTCCACCGGGTCGGAGGGAGGGAACCGGCTGCGCTTCCGGGCGGGAACTGGACGGGTTCCCCTTTGACCCGCTTCTGGATCATGACCTGCCGTCGGATCAATCGAGTCAATCGAGTCCGAGTCGTTATGGTGTTGTGTCGTGTCTTTTGGTCTGAGGTGAAGGAAGGTGAGTAGGTTGATTCAGATTTCTCAGTTCATGGCTGTAATCACAATGCTCATCTGGTTCAAAGTGTGTTCCTGTATGTGAGTGGCACAATTTGTATGGCAATTTGGCATTAAGCAGCCAAGTTTGATCAAGACTTGTGTTCCAAAGGAAGTGCGCCACTCTTCCTGCTGTGGTTCCTACTAGTGAATCGACTTCATCTCTTCAGAAAGGCCTTGTTGGTTGAAGACACCTCTGTTCCACCAATAGAACTATTGCAATATCGTAATATCCTCCCAATTCAATGGAATCAATGGAACTTTCAATATGATACCATTGCTTGAACCAAGTGGAATCTCAGCGGCCATGGACCGGTCTCCAACCTCCATGGACCAGTCGACACCCGGTTGAAACACCACACCTTGTAGTCGCCCTCATAGTGGGGCAAGGACCCAGTCAACAAGCAGTACAAGAGGCCTGGGCTTATCAGTGGCAAGCCTGTGGGTTTAGAGAGCACCTCCATGTCAAACTTCAATGAACATGTTTAACAGAAGGACGTGAATCCTTGCAACAAGTTGATCTGCCAACCATCACCATGATGATGATGATGATGATGATGATGATGATGATGATGATGATGATGATGAATCATCACCGTCATCATCATCATCATCAGCAGCAGCATCATCATCTGTCATAGCAAGATTTGCTGGCGTGTCTATCCTCGCACCGCCCATATATCATATTCCTTGCTACTACTCCTTCGTAATTTGCCGAAGCACGATCATCAAACACATAGTCACACCGTCATAATATATGCTATGTGTACAATTAGTTCTTATGCAAAGATCCAAACTAAGATCTAAATAGTTATGTGTTGTATAAATAACTTAGTAAAGGCATATATATATATAGTTCATACTTATATATATATAAATTCCAAAAGTACATATAGATTATGTATATACATGATTATATATGCATGCCAAAATCCAACCAATTTGTTTATAAACTCATTTGGGTGATCCGGCTTGTCGGAACGGCCCGTCGGCTGACGTCGTGCTCAGTTCACCGCAGCCCAAGCAGTAGTAGTCCAGTGGCAGCCCATGGCCCTGCCGGTGCCGACATTTTGGTGTTACGGTTGATTACATCACAAAAACCCTCCATGAATTCTGCACCTTCAATATCTCTAGTCCAGGGGGAGAAAAAAATCAAAGAGATTTGAGACGTTCAAAGGCCCATGCCACTTCATCCAGTGTCAGTGGCTGCCGGATCTATCTCTCAAGCCCATGAGCCATGCGAATCCACGGGAATTTTGCTGGACCTCATTGAACCTCCGTTTTCCAAACACAAATTCATCCGGACATGTTCCAAAAGTCTTGGCTTGATCACTCTTGGTCCAATCACACGGCAGGGGATGTGCTGCTTTGGACGCGATCTTTTTCGGCCATGAGCCTTCAACCATTGAAGACCCTGCACCCTTGAAGGATGTAGCTAGGACTCTATGCTCGGCGGAGGCCATCGCTATTAGGTTGGAGGCCAGAAGCTAGTAACAAGAAGCTACGAACGTAGCAAGGACGCGTCGTAGGTGTGGGATGACCCATGAAGTCCATGAAGACCTTTGGGGCCCGTCGTCGACTCCACGGACCAACACGAGGAACCCGCACGACATCGCTCCACCGGTCATGGCCTGTCGAGCCACCATCTCTGGGCTCAAGTAGCCCGCCGTACCAACCTCTGCAGAGAGATCTTGGATTCAGTATGATTCAGTGATTCGTTTACTCTTGCCAGGCTGGTTTGCCAGGTTGCCTAGGGAGGGAAGTAGATAGGTGATCGATTTGCAGGTCTCACTGAATCACAGTGGTGTGGTGATTCTCATTGAGAACTTACAGCCCACCAAAGGGAGCTGCAACCAGTCATCATTTAAAAACACTTCAAAGGTGCGATTCCAACAATCAACTGGTGCGATTCAAAGGTACTGTCTTGCCATGTTTTTCCTGTCGATGTTGGGATTCACAAAGCTAACGTTGCACGCGGCACACGTACTCTCGAGAGCCAAAAGCAAGCCGAGGTGCAAAGGAAGTGAAGACCGCGGAGTGCGTGAGGTTGTCCTGGTGCTGAAGCACACGCAAAAACATGTTCCCCACATACTATTATGAGAGACTGACGGAACAAGACCCTCTAGAAAAAAATCCGCGCATGCTATTCATGTTTGCCTATGCAGTTTGCGGTAGGCCTTTCCTCCTGAGCCTCCCAGCTGATCAAACTTAAAAAAGTTTAGTTAGAAAGAAAGAAGGATAGGTCGGAGAAAAAACAAGAGATACAGTAAAGAATGAAACAAAGACATTTAAAAAAAACAACGAAAGAAGAACTGAACAAAAGAAAACACAGACAGACAGACAGACAAACAAACAGAACGACAGAAAGAAAGAAACAAACAAAAGAAAGAAATAAAGATTACAAAAAAGGAAAGTAATGAAAACAAACAAAGAGAAAGAGAGAGCGAGAGAGACTCGGAGATGAATCTATGGCATGCCAGGCACACCCTCATATCCGCCACGGGAGGCAGGACGAGAAGAAGCTAGATTGGGATGTAAGTGCAAGGCAAAGGACTGTTGTACACCAAAGAACTCTATTGCATGTGTTTGATGACTTCATTGTTTATAATCAAAAAACAAACACAGCTACAAATCAACAAGTCAAGCATTTTTCTCCAGCCAGTGTCAACCTAAAAGGGTGTTTCAAGGACAGAAGAGTGCCACAATTTGTTGGTCCAGTTTGGCGCCTGGCCTCTTCTGATCGTGTATTTGCAAGCTTGATATTTTCTATAGTAGAGGTTCCAACGACACATGAGCACCAGGAGTTTGCCCTGCTATACGTATATATATATATATATATCGAAACACGGGTCCCTAGACCCGACAACAGGTTTCCTAACCCTTCCCGTCGGCCGCTCATAACCTTTTGCTTCCGCCTGAGCAAGCGAGGT